AAGTTACAATTGATGATTCAGTACATACTTTTTTTTTCTTTCAAAAAAGAACTGTCCTATTATTATACATCGGCAACTAATTCCAGCCCATTTTGCCGTTTTACCTTTCGACTTATCATTTTATTTGACAGTTAGTTCAAAAACAGACATACTCGAAAAAAAAATTACTCGATTACAAATTATTTTGATCTCTCGGTATATGTGTGTCTTTGTATTAATAAGTGTAATTTAAAAAGAATTCTAATGTTTTATTAAAAAAAAAACTTTAGGTTATAAGATTTTTAAATTAAAATTTAAAAATAAAAAATTGAAGCTTTTGGTGGCAAGTTTGGGGGGGCCTGGCCCCCTGGGTCCGCTCTTGCATCTAGGGACGTTTCTTATTCTTGACAAGCTGTAGTCGACTTTATTTGATTTTTTAAATATGTATTTATTAAATATAGGGTGAAACAATAAACAATCACTTCAAGAGAGCAACAAAATAAAATAAATAACTTTTCTCTTGACTAAAAACAATTGCTTAGAATTAATAAAAAATAAAATTCAAGGTTTTTGCGATTTTTTGATAATTTTAGGATCAGAGTAGCTTTTTGTGGAAACGTTTTTCCCCAACCATTTGTGCGCAAACCACATAGGCACGTGTTGCACTCCAACTACTTTGAAACGTGTATGTGCACTATTATCTGTATGAAGACGGTTAAATATAGAATGCATAGAGTAAAAGAGCTACAAACTAGGCCACTCCATGCCAAATCGAAGAATGAACAATAGTTGTGTCGATTCGGAGGTGTGTAATGCAATTAGATGCAAACCCAACCAATCTTTTCTGGACACTTAGTCTTAAGAGATGGTGATGATGGTAATCTGATTTGGTTGAGAGTGTAGTCTAATTGTAGTATAATGAGTTTGCTAACCACAGCAAAGACCAAGTCTACGGATTAGCAATGGCGAGACCGCCGCCGCGAGATTCGCGCCGCCGCCGCCGCCGCCGCCGCGCAAGCCAGGCACACATTCACTCGCTACTACGCCGCCACCACCGGCTGCACTGTAACACGCCCCAGGTTAATGACAACCAAGCACATCGACATCCTGTTAGTGTCGCGTTAGTGTTACATTGCAGTCGTGAGTTACAGAAAAAAAGTAACGAACATCAAAATAGTCAGCCCAAAAGAAAACGAAAACCTCACAGCAAACAGTAAGATGGGCGTCCGTCGCCACCCGTCCGTGTGTCCCCCGGATTTCTCTCCGTACCTAACCATTATGCTAAACGGCTAATAAACATGCCAAATTACTTAGTAGCACAGCCAAAAACGACGCCCTGACTGCCCTTTACACTCACTCAAGGGTTTCGATAAACTGCACTTGCCGGTTTTCCCAAACCAGCGGTCCCCAAACATCGGCACAATCCACAACCATTCATTATTTTTTCATTATTGTTTTCGCAATTAAAAAAATATCTTTATTTAGTCAAACTGTTAAGTAATTTCATTCACCACATAAATTTAAAATGTTGTTTCACTTTGATAAGACTAAAGTTATAGCTTATCTTTTCAACTTTAAGTAAGTATGGGTAGATATTATTTTTTTACGCTATAGTAATGACATGTGAGCCATTGAACTCAGCTACGATAAGACTACTAAATGAAACACAGGTAGATAATTGTACAGAGTGTCCCAAGTTTTACGGCCAACGCAAAAATTTGATGTTTTGATATTAATTGTACAAAATTTTTAAAAATTAAATTTGAAAAATTAACTGGAATATTTTCTACATGATAAAATTCTTTGATTTTTTTCTCTGGTATTTGTGAAAATAGAATAATGATAAAGTTGATAGGTTTTGAATAATTAACATTTTAATATTGAAAATCTGAAACTTGAAATAATTTATGGGGGGGTTTGCAATAATTGGTGATCAGGCCATAAATTCTTGATAAAAAAAGATCCGCAATCACATTTATGACGTACCCGGGCTCTATTGTCAATGTCAATCATCCCAAATTTGGCCATAAATTACCAGAATTTTCAATAATAAAATGTTAATTACTCAAAATCTATCAACTTTTACATTATTCAATTTTTACAATTACCATTAGAAAAAATCAAGGAATTTTATTATACATATACACGCTGTTCTGGCTAAACCTCACATTAGAAGTATTGGGAGTTCTAACAATGATAMTTATCRAAAATTTTATTTATAGTCARAATCYGTAAGATGGCGGCAKTTCCMGTTACACCGGAAGTGGATATCAACTTCGTTATTTTAAACYGAAAGTTATTGCGTTTTTGGATTACTCAAGTGATTTTGTGAGAGTTACCTAAGTTTAACCGTTTTTGAAATATGTAGACCTTTTTAAACAATTTTGGATTTGAATCTTCCTATTCGAAAATTGATAACTCTACCATTTTTTATTATGCTGAAACCATATTTGAGTATACGAGAGAGAACGGTTAGATCTTTGCCTTGATGTATTCATAATTGAAAAAATAATTAACAAACCTCCAAAATGTAAGGTTACGTTTAGGAAACTTCAAATACCCTTAACTCAATTTTTCTAAATAAAACACCCCAATTTTTTCTTCACTAACTGGAGGCGAATTTAGTTCTGCTTCGATCTGTATTAACATTCCCTATACCTATGTTTGATAGTTTTAAAATTATTATAGTAACTTCTTTTGATATTGTGAGAAATTCATTAGCCATAGCTACTTTAGTATAGGTTGTGAAAAAAATAGAATATCAAAGTTATTCAAATTTAGATTAAATAAATTTAATTAGTATTTACGAAAAGAATAACACAATTGTGAAAAAAAAACTTGGCGTTTTTTCAGTTAGAAATATTTCCATGGCAAACTATGCGAAAACTACCATGAATAGTAATGAATTTCTTCCACTGTAAAGTAAAAAAAAGTCAAAACAACGTGGAAATCATTAAATTTAGTATAGGGAATGTTAATACAGATCGATGCAGAATTAAATTCTCTTTCATTTAGTGAAGAAAAAATTGGAGCCTTCAGTTGTGGATATTTGAAGTTTCCTAAACGAAACCTTAAATTTTGGAGGTTTGTTAATTATTTTTCCAATTATGAATACACAAAAAAAAGAAGCAACCTTTCTTTTTCATATGCCCAAATACGATTTCAACATAATTAAAAATGTAAAGTTATCGATTTTTGGAAAGGAAGATGCAAATTAAAAAAAAATCTAAAAAAAGTCTAAATATTTCAAAAACGGTAAAATTTAGGCATAGAGAAGTCTCATAAAAACTCTTCAGACTTAAGAATAAGCTGAAGTGACCCAAACATTATTTTACACAGCCTAAAAGACACTTTGCTAAATAAAAATGTAACTCTTAGTCAAATCGACAGCACGAAGTTTTGAAAAGTCTCAATTTACATTTTTTAAATTTGAGTATTTCTATTTAAGAAATTTTTAAACGTTTTTTTTTGCAAATCTAGATATTATTGAAACCGGTATTTCTAGGCACTTCCTTAGTCTCCRCCACTGTCTTTTGCAACACGATGTTTTAAAAAAGTCTCAATTGACGTTTTTTAAATTTAAGCATTTCTTTAAGAAATTTTCAAATTATTTTTGCAAGTCTAGAAATTTTTTAAGCCGGTATTCCTTGACATTTTTTTAGTCTCCTCAACCGTCTTTTGTAACATGATATTTTGAAAAGTCTCAATCTACATTTTTTAAATTTAAGAAATTTTTAAACGTTTTTTTTGCAAATCTAGATATTATTGAAACCGGTATTTTTAGGCACTTRCTTAGTCTCCCCCACTGTCTTTTGCAAGTCTTAATTGACATTTTTTTTAATTTAAGCATTTCTCTAAGAAATTTTTAAATGTTTTTTTGCAAGTCTAGAAATTTTTTAAGCTGGTATTTCTTGGCATTTTCTTTATCTCTCCATCTGTCTTTTGTAACACGATATTTTGAAAAGTCTCAATTTACATTTTTTAAATTTAGGCATTTCTCAAAGAAATTTTTAAATATTTTTTTGCAAGTATAGAAATTTTTAAGCTGGTATTTCTTGACATTTTCTTAATTTCCCCAACTGTCTTTTGTAACACGATATTTTGAAAAGTGTCACTTTACTTTTTTAAATTTGAGGATTTGTATTTAAGGAATTTTTAAACGTTTCTTTTTGCAAATCTAAATATGTATTTTTAAACACTTCTTTAATCTCCTCCACTGTCTTTTGCACGATGTCTTAATTGACGTTTTTTAAATTTAAGCATTTTTGCGCCGTCCCTAAAACCTGGGACACCAGTTTTCATCCATTTTTTCTCGACAGGCTATAATGTAGCCATATCATAAAAGACTTAATTAACAAAAATTTTGACTATTTTGAGTACTTCTTTTTTTCTGCAAATATGTCAGTTCTGTTTTCTGTTTTCAAAACCTAAACCTGAATAGTCTACTTYTACTATGCAGAGTGAATGAGTTTGTTTGTCGAAAAGGGTGTGGAGATTGGTGATTGGTGGCGTTAGTTTGGAGGTCGCTGTTTGTTGTGTGGACTAAAGTAAAAATCGCATGTTTACGTATAAAGTAGAAATGAATAAATCGTCCTTATCAGTAGAATATGATAGTGCGAAGCGGACACGACCAAACAGGGAGACGGACTCGTGCAAAATGTGTCTCTGGCGGTCCCACCTGGGGCTCAAACGGCGGGCTCGCGAGTGACAGCAAAAATGTTTAATAAGTGGAACTCAATACTAATCAAATAAAATCCACACGCACACTCACAAACACTCATCGAAGGAAACTAACTCTTTACATTTGTATGTTTGAGGCGTTACGAACGATGGGTTCGGGATACGTCTCATTGTCAGCCAAATTCTAATCTGCAAATCATATGGAATAACGAATCACCAACTGCCTTCATGACTTATGTAGCTAGAAAATACGAAATATTGATTACGACAGACTTGGTGATGCACATTTATAAAAGTGCACTTCGCGTGCGCTTGTGGCTTGTCTGATCATTTCTACTTACCCGTACTGGCCCGGAAGAAGTGTAGGGTAACCAGCCCGGATTCCTTGAAACGGGAAGCCTGCAAAAATGCCATTATCAACATCATATACTTGTTGCCTCCTAACAACTTTATTATTCACAGGAAACACAAAATGACCAAATACATCACGAGGGTGCAATTCACTCACTTTTCCTTTTTCTCGTCTATGAATTTTATGTAAATTTCTCCTCGGAAAACGCATAATGCTTCAATTAGTTTAATGCTGTTTACAAACTAGCGCATTCAAAATGTTAAAAATAAAATTTAACTCAGTGAAAAAACATTCATAAATCACAACTCCATAAAACTGTCGATACAAATCTACACATTTTTACACAATCTGATAATTTGAAATCTGATCAAAGAAGTCAAACATTTTGTATTGACAATATGCGTTACCAACTAGTTTCCGATTTATTTACACCAAAAGAATAAAACCACTAAAGAGGCGGTAGAAAATAAAGTTAATCACAAAAGATAAAATAATTTCGAAACACTATTGYAAGATTTCTTTAAATACCAAAAAATTTTCTATTGAGTCTTGTCTGAAAGACAAAAAATTGGGAGAAAACTTTAATAGCTTCTAAAATGCTTTCTATTATACCTAATAACTAAGGCTTGGATTATATGCACGAAAAATTAGTAAAATATGAGCATACATATTCGTATTTTTACACAAATATGCACAAAATATTAAGAAATATGCCCCAATATATGCCAAAATATGCATTAATATGCAAAATTTTAACAATAAAAAATCAAAGTTGGGATAAATTTGTATCCTCGAGTACACTAAACTTTGTATTTTCGGCATCTTGAACTGGACACGATGAACAAAAGAAAATAAATGAATTGGTTTTGCCTCAGACAAGCCATTTTAATAACCTAGTAATTAAGCCTTTCTAAGAAATCTGTACTTTTTAGATCACATCACTTTAAACAATTTTGCTAAAATTCATTTGCAGGCAACTACTTATTCGCATATAGAAGGATTTATTCGTTTTATACCAGGTGATAAGAAAGTATGGAACCAACCGTTTTTTGCTTAAAGTATTTATTTTTAGAAAAAACAAATTGATGAATTATAAAGTACTACAAAAATGTGATGTTTAATCAAAAATAAAAATTTTCGAAATTGTTATTTGAGTTGAGTTCTTTTTAAATGGCAACCTATCAAAAAAACATTTTTCTCATGAAGGTCATGATCTAAGGGATTACAACTTTCTACTTTACATTAAATTAATTTTTTTTATAGTAATTGCAATTTTGACAACAAAAATCAAATACCTCAAAAACAAAACAAAATTTTGGTCTCAAAATAAGATGATTTTTTTATATTACATACTTTAATTTATATTAATTATTATTTTTTGGAAACAAATGATTAAAAAAAAACGCTTAGTTCGATATTTTATATTTACCGTGTATAAAACAAATTTAAAAGAAAAGACAGCAGGATACTAATTTTTTGAGTCTGGCTTATGAATTACGGTTGTTTTCTCTTTAAAATATTTTGTAATTGGATCATTTTTCTTAAACTGTCCAATTTTTATCTTAAACTAAAATTTTTAATCGGAAATTTGTGATTTGAAGAAAATATTTCCTAAAATATACACGAAGTTGCCAAAATATGCAAAATATGCATTTTTTATTTATCTTATTTTAATTTTAATCAAAAAACCTTAGATATGCATAAAAAACTTACAATTTTGTTGATATAAAAGGAAATCTAACATCTTGGATGATAGTTGCAGTTTTTTTTAATATAAATGACTTAAAAATATTTTTGTCTTTTGTTCTAAATTTGATGTTTCAACTTAAATATGTAATAAACAAAATGTAATAACTAAAAAAACACTGTCTTAAAAAACAAGTAAACTTTTAATTCTTATGTTGCCCTCTCTGAGAAAAATTTCAACGGATGCCTAGCAAATATGCATATTTTCAAAAACAAAACGTGTTTTACTTTCTACAAACTTCTTCATTTTTTTAAAAATTTGCTAACAAAAATGAAAAAATATTGTAGCCCAAAAATTTGTATTTTCTTTTTTGATGTAATGAAAACCTTATTTTTTTAGGATTCTTAGTTTTTTTTTAAACGAGGTTTTGTAAAGAAAAACAAATTATTTCAAAGTTAAACCATAAAAATTGACTTTTATTCAAAAATACAAAAAAAATATTGTAGGTGCCCCAAAACAAAACAGATCAAGTCAGGTCAAAAATTGTATAACTTTTTATGAACCATGTTAGTTTTTTAAGAGTAAAATTTTGACTATCTGAAGGATGGCTCATTATTTTCATTAAAGAACTCATTTTTAGCCACATTGTAACCTTATAAAACATTGATTTTGAATGTTATAATAAAATTTACATGGCTTCTTAACTAGGCTCAAGATACACTTATGGTATTTGATGGCAGATATGCGCACTTTGTTTTTGGAGTTCGTTGCTCTTGATATGAAAAAAGCTCATTTAGACAATTTCACACGAATTGAAACCAACAGTTTTATGGAGTTTTGGATTAGTATGCAATCATGAAATGCGGATCTGCGGTAGTTTTATTTATTTTTAAACATAAATCTYACAACTATTTTTATATCAATTCGTCGTAATTTTCATATAGTCTAGGATCAATGGATTAATTACTAAACGGATTGTTGGTTCGGTGGTCGTGCGACATGTGCGGACGTCCGGGTGTGCCGGAAGTCCGGAGGGTGGTTTAGAATCCGCGTTTTACAAACCAATAACTACTTACTATCTCTGTACCCATCTAAGCCGAAAGTCATGCTTATCAAAAAACTCAACTCACCGGTTTGCGCATTTCCTCTCGGTTTTGCTCCCAGAATCGCTAAATTCACATTAGCTTTTCGCCCATCAATAATAGGGTTAGCGTCTTTACATGCTCTATCTGATGACGACTTATCTCCCATAATTACCTGGAAGAAACATTATTTCTTAACACCCTAACTGCRACRATTTCAGCCACGAACTGAACGATTTATTAGGCCGACTTTGTAATGAATTTGTAATTTCCGCGGGGACGAATCACTCATACCGATTAACATATTATTTTATTTACGAGTTTGCTTTGTTGGACAATTGGACAATTTCGAAATTCTCTTGCAAAATGATGGGCACGAAATTATAAAATCATTACGCCATTGAAATCTGTTTATTGTGTTTGATATTGAGAGTTCAATGCCAACGTATGACAGGAAAATGAATTTTTTATTGACATCAACACACTTTTATAGTGTTTGTTCCGATAGATTGTCAATTTGGCTTAAAGATAGCGCCGGGCTCTTGGTTTCATTTATTCCGGGCTATATCTATAATTTAATAGGGTAAATTCGGTGTGAAAGTATTCCGACCCCATTTTAGCAGCTGCCGTGGGGTGTAAGCTCCCTATTTTGTACGGTGAATATTAACGACTTTCAAAAAACTCAACTTACAAATCCATATCCTCGACTTTTCCCCGTTTGTCTATCAGTGATGACCACTGCTTCTTCGATTTCTCCATAAACCGAGAAATGTTCTCTTAGAGACTGATCCGTAGTGTGATAGGGCAATCCTCCCACGAACAATTTCGTCCACGTGGTGTCCTTATGTTGCACTCCATTGTTGGTGTTCGCATTCGAATTGGTGTTGGCCAAAGTGCCCAGGCCTCCGAGTCCAAGACTATCGGCCTCGTTGGAGGCCGGAAGTCCAGCGCTGGGCATCAGCATTATCGCACTCTGATCTTCGGAGGGATCAGAAGCTGCGGCGCGCTCCTCGTTCCGGGAGGTGCTGTTGTGATTTTCCGTTGGTCTGCTGGGACGGTTTCCGAGGGGATTAACAACGTTGTTTATATACTCTTTGGTGAAGGTACTCCGCCGATCTCGCATAGGTATGCAGGTCCGGCCGTTTTGCACATAAAGTTCCGTTAAACGCGTTTTCACACCACCAACTTCGCGGCGAAAGCACGTGTGAGGAGTTGCACTAAATTTAGCTTTGCGGTATTGCAGCTGTGTTGATGAACCAGACGGCTGGATGAGAATCGCACTGAAGGGAGCTAAGGGTTCACTCAAAACTAACGACAACGCTGAATATTCAACACATATGACTACTACTAACGCTCTGACACGAATAAAACTAAAGCGCTGAAATGCGCCCCCTGGATTGGTCAAATTGTGGTGGGGACGCACCTATTCCATTTCAAACTCTATTACGACATTTTACTACGACATAGACGTACCAACAACTTTTCTTCACTTTACTATGGGCATTGCCAAAATAGATCAACCTCAAGACAAACACCGCAAACTTAAATATACCGTCACCAAGGGATAAATTACACTAATTTAGTCATTTACCATCTGGTAGGCGTTAAAAATTCCACGTGGTGGTACACAATTTTTTATTAACCCTTATTCAGTATCGATTGTGCTTCAGCAGCCATGTTATTTCAAGCGACAGTAATATTTTTTACAACAAAATTGATTACTCATTAATTATACGGTGTTTGGAATAATTGCTTTGTTGCTTTAAATCCAACACTAATTTTGTTTCGATAAACAAGTTATTTTTTTGGTAATAAAGGTAATAATTAAGACTCGGATTATATGCACGAAAAATTCGTAAAATATGCGCATATAGATGCACAGGATATGCATTGATCTACAAAACTTTTAACAATAAAAAATCAAAGTTGTGATACATTTTGATTCCCGACTTTCTATTTTCGGCATCTTGAACGAAACAAAATAAATAAATTGGTTTTGCCTCAGACAAGCCATTTTACAGCGATTATTTGCAAATGTCAAAATTTAATCGCTTCTGAATTTATTAGGCAAAAGTTTCTATTGCATAGATACGAAACAGTGAATACAAAAGTAATTTGTAAAATTTTTGAAAACGATTTTTGTCCCGTTTCGGGGTAAATTCTTTCGAAAATATTGAATCTGCCGTTGGTAGAAGTGTGATAAATAAGACTCGGATTATATATGCACGTATTTTCGCAAAAATATGCACGCAAGATATTAAGAAATATGCTCCAATATATGCCAAATATGCATTGACTTTTAACAATAAATTGCCTCATTTTAATAACCTAGTAATTAACCTTTTCTAAGAAATCTCTACTTTCAGATCACATCACTTTAAAATATTTCACAAAAATTCACTTGCACACAACTACTTATCCGAATGGAAGGATTATAGCCATACCAGGTAAATAAAAAGTATGCAACCAAACGTTTTTTGCTTAAACTATATATTTTTTAGAAGAACTAATTAATGAATGATAAAGTACTATAAAAATGTGATGTTTTATCAAAAATAATTTTTTTCAAAATATTCTTTTGTTTTCAAGTTCTAGAAAAATATTTTTTTTAAATGACAACCCATTAAAACAACATTTTTTTCATTAAGGTTATNTAAAACACTTCAGTTAAATTAAAATAATGAAATGTATAATAAGTTGTATTACCCTAAAAAAATAGTATATTAAATAACGGGCTTTGTAAGGCAAAAAAACATTTTTTTCATTAAGGTTATGATCTAAATATTACAACTATCTAGTTTATATTCTTTTTTTTTAGTATTTTTTACATATATTGCAATTTTGACAAAAAAAATGCATCTCAAAAACAAATTTTTTTTTCTCAAAATAAGATCACATTTGTATATTACTTTAATTAATATTAAGTATTATTTTCTAGAGGCAAATGATTTAAAAAAAAAAACGCTTAGTTCCATACTTTATATTCACCCTGTATAAAACGAATTCAAAAAGGAAACACTGAGCAGGATACTAATTTTTTGAGTCCGGCTTACGAATTACCGGTTGTTTTCTCTTTAAGACATTTTGTAATTGGATCTTTTTTCTTAAACTGTCTAATTTTTAACTTGAACTGAAATTTTTAATCAGAAATTTGTGATTTGAAGAAAACATGCACAAATATGCAATATTTGCTAAAATATGCACGAAGTTGCCAAAATATGCATTTTTAATCAAAAAACATTTTGTTGATATACCTCTTAATAAAAAATATGCATTTTGCATATAATCCGAGCTTTAGTAATAAACCATCTGATTTTTAGTAATCGTTTTCATAGTGTACTTTAATTTTCGTTCTATAAAATCCGGCTTATTGATGTTTCCCGTTAAGAGGATGATAAAATGCAACACTAGTGAACCATCAATGTTTTGATTATTATTTTACAATCTCATCAATAAGTCAACAGTTATTTTCGAAATAGCTAACTTTAGAGCCGTGATTTGTGACCGTTTCCGACAGATGTTCACCGGAACCTGGGTCACCCTATTATTTTAAAACTGGCATTATTAATAACAAAATTGCGATTTGAGTTTTCGGATCCGGTCCTGGAAGGAACGCGTGCTGTGCGTTATTCTTCATCTGCGCGTGTTTGAGGGCCACCCCACATTACTGTTCACCGTTGTTCCACTTGACGAGTGCTGCAATACTGAGCTTCGCACACCTGGTCTAGCACCCTTCTTATTTGAGATAACGCCGTTATTATTTCGAGCGTTTATCTCGAGTTTGTCAGTTTTATTGAAGGAATAATCGGGATTTTGGTACTGGTAACATATGATTGTCAACAGCTGCGTTTCTTTTACACTACCCAGAAGAGAAAATTTCGTGCATTAACTAAAATCAATCGTTAGGAATTTACTAGAGTAGAAAAGTTCGGATCATTAAGGATAAAGAAATTGTGAAATTTAAATATAGATTAGTGCGTAATGTTCATGGCTTCGGCCATCCCTAAACCAGGTATTGTTAACGGGAAGTTGTATTATGTTACGCCATTGTCCTTCAGGGTCGTCTCCTCACTTTTCCCCTTTTCTACCATTAGGGCGAATCAAATAAAAATTTTCTTATTACTCGTGTGTCAAAAAAATCAATTAAATTCTATTCCAGTATTTGTTATTTTAACTCGAAATAACTGACAATTTGTTTATGTTGTTATGATAAGCTAATAGGTGAAATTTCAATCAACAAAGAAAGTCTAATTTAGTAAAGTAACGTATTTCAGTGTGACTCAAAATAAACTCTACATATCATTAGCAAGACTTGAAAATGAAATGTACAAAAAACCAGCTCCCTACAGTATGAAACATGTGTTTTATATGAGCTATTTTTTGAACTTGACTCTTGGTATATCTACTTGTGTTTCATCGTCACTAGCTTACCATAATTAAAATTATTATTGTTTCATTTGTTTGTTTCATTTTCTTAATCACAAGTTTTAAGTGATTAATGTGAGTCAATAACAACTGTTTCTTGCTTTATTTATTTATTTTTCACTTTATGATCTTCGTGACAAAACAAACATTTATATTATAACTTTATACTAAAATGCTACAGCAGCTACCTGGAAATGGAGTTTTAATTACACACCAAATCGCTAAAATCGCAACATCAATCACTTCGAACTATAATAATAATAAAACCGTGCTTATCGATATTTAAAGAAGAATAATGAGGCATTGTTAAATAAATAAATTACCGCCATTTCAATTTTAATCAATAGTCATTTCATACCACAAACAAAATGTAACACAAGTAAACATGTTTTTTGATTGGTATTCCACTGACACGTTTTAACAGGAACAAAGATTTTAAACAGGGCATTAAAATCATTTTTTTTCTTGTTTGCTATAGTAATGCTTATGTGGTATTAAATCAAATAAAATGTTTTATTTCTAATTTGAAAAACGTTTGTTGTCTGAAAAATTTTCGTTATAAAGACATTCTGATTTATGAAGCTGTTATATTTTACTAGGCCTAGAAAGAGTATTTGAAACTTTCATTAGTTGTTTATGACGGTAGTCAACCTACCGCTATACTATTGTCACATTTACTGTGTACATATTTCGATTTTTTTATAAAGTGAGGAGTGACAGACCCAAATTTCAAAAGCAAATTAACTGTAACCARGTCACCGGAGAACGTGGCGTTAAAATAATAGAAAAATGACATCGCAAATTGGAAGTTGGTAAATAGAATTTGTGAYGATGCCAAATGTGTAGATCAACATCGCAACCAGTTGTCACATCAGTCAAAATTTTTAAACATGACTATTACATTAACCCAACGAAATCAAAATTTGAGAACTTGACAAACATTTTGTTGACGGAACCGAAAGATAAGTGGTTCATCCTATCTGATTTGGTCTAAGAAGTTTCCAATTAAAAAAATACTACTGACTTTTGCAACTGTTTTTTTACTTAGTAGATATTGCAAAATTTACAATTGTAGTTTTTGTTCCTTGAGAGCAGCCCAAAAATATTTCGTAGCTATTTATATTGGACAAAGTACAAAAGAACTTGTACTTTGTGTGCCAAATTAGTTCAAAGATGCGCATTTGCGACACTAATGATCTGTAGATAAGGAAGAGGATGTTTCTGAGCCAAACTTAGGTACATAAATAGTAAAATTGAAACTGAAGTATATAATTTGCGTCCTTGGTGGAATGAAATGTAACTTTTGGAGAGTTTTCAGCGGGAAAGGCTATGAGTTATTTTCAGAAGGCCACAAGTACTCAAATACGGCCAACAAATTTGACGATGGCTCAATGGTGGGTATCAAAACAGAGTTTAAGTGTTTATTAAGTTTACTTCTTGAGAAAATGTTAGTTTTTCCTAGTTTATTGAAGTTTAGTGTTAATTGACGGATTACTACTATCTAATCAGTAATCTTTCAAGGCGTGAGACGCCCCTGATATATTTATATGCGGCTGTGCCATTTGCTTTCAGTATTTCACACTTGAGTGCAATAACCTTTAAGCCTATATTTATAAATTTAATTTAATTTAATAAAAATTCCCGATTCTTCAAATCAGCCGTTTCAGTTTGAGTCGTTGTTAACACGATGACGTTCGGGACGTTATTTTGGTTCGGAGGAGGAAGTAAGAATTGTGTTTAGCGCAAGCGGCGTCGAGACGTCGGAATATGGGGGCAGATGTACTCTCTCGTTTCTAATTATCTCCCGAGTAAAAAGAGTTGAAAATTCTATTTTCGTAAAACCACGGTTAATAGATCCAGCTGTTGGACGTTCATCAGTTTTATAAATCGAGATTAGCGGTAGTTGACGATCAAATTAAGACTTGATTTGCCACCTAGGCCACACAAACACCAAAATCAAACGTTGCAAAAGTCAAAAGCGCCAGATTTTGGAAAGCTGGAGTGATTCCACGGAATGCAAAAACACAAAAGCCACAGTAAAATTTGGTTAATTCCCGGGAATTCAACGTTTTCACGTAATTTTCGAAAAGTTCGGATTCATAAAAATGCAAAAAAGCGCAAGTTTAAAGGTCCCCTCCCCGGAAAGTGTCTTATTGTTAGTAAAGTAATTAAAGCGCTTGTTTAAGTGTGCTTTTAATTTCCTTATAAAGATAACAAGTTGTCAGGAAACGACCTATAGTTTTCGGAAATAATCAAGTTCCGACCCTTACAATTCACACGCACTACATGAAAAAAACATAAATTTAGGGGAGAAGTGGGCGTTTTTTTAACGCTTACCCTTGCTGGAAATGTGATTAAGTTGGACAGACTTTTTTATAAATATCATCAATAATTTGAAAGTGCTTACGACTTATCAGATTGTAACAAAAAAATTGTTACTAGAATCGAAGCTTTTCAATGTGAATTAAAGTTTTATTAAGTGGGGAATAAAATGAGTCTAGTATAATGACCAGTAGATGGAAGTGAAGTAATGTAGAACATTTTTCTGTTTTAACATTTCGTGCTCGGTATTCGATTAAATATATAGATAATATAGGACATTACGAGGATATAGTATGAAGGACAAATTCAATCCAACAATTTAATGCTAATCTCCTATCTATTACCTACCCGTATTTTCTATCGCACTTTTAATGAGCTCTACCATTTCTTTTTATTTAATTCATCGATTTACATTACAGAATAACTTATTTTAAAAATAAATATTGATAAATCGTCCGAATTTTTCCGTGGCTTGACGCCTTTGACGTCGCAGTAAATGTCGGAAAAAATTAAGTTAGTGCTTGAAATTTTTAAAAGACTGCGTAGGCACACGGTATATTAATTCCGTCTCTTGGCACAAATCTGTCGCTAAAGATAATACTTTGGTTTCCACACATTCAATAAATAACGTTTTTTTTTTGTCAGCGGGAATCTGGGAACACAATCATAAACAGAAAAAGTTTATTGTACAAAAACACCCTACACCAAAATTTCTACAAATAAATAATTTATATTTTTCACGTTGTGTTGACAATGTCACGGACTCGTTTCACAATTGCGTTTTTGGTGGCTTCATGAGTGTACCAATCGAAAAAAGGCACTTGGTACTGGTACTTGTTGGGTCCAACGGGTGGACCATAAGTGAACGACACATGGTCGTTGTTGCCATTCGATGGGCCATAGCCTAAAATTATTACTACAAATTTCGGTTTTAAATGGTGCAAGTTACGATTTTACCATAGGTCGTATTGGAAGCCTCAGTTGTTGGCAAAGGGGTTGTAGTATTGGTGATAATTGTAGATGGCTCAGTTGTGGTACTAGTAGTAGTTGTTGTAGCTTGCCTGACTATCACAATTTCAGTATTTGGGTTAATTCCTTCAGTACTTGTGTCAATTTCTATAGAACTTGGTACTTTGGTTACTCGTCTTGTGGGACGTTTCGGCCTTTTAATAAACCTTGTACTTGTTTCAAACGAATCGTAATATTCGTCGTCATCGTCATAATACTGTTCAGAAGAATGTCTGTTTATTTGTGGACGTCTTCTTCTGTTGGGTTGGTACCTTTCAGTATAGTCCTCGTAACTATCATAGTACTCAGGAGGCGGGGTTGTTGTTCTTCTACGTCTTTGAGGGTACTTATTACGTCTTGTAGGTCCTCTCCTTCTACTTCTTTGAGTAGGTTTTCTATTTGTTTTACGATTAGATTCCGCAGTTTCCGGTTCTTCAGTTACCACAGTTGTTTCAAGAAGAAGGGTACTAATTTRAGGAATAACAGTAGTTGTTTCTTTTGATTGCTTATGCACGTTATTAGATTCAGCAGGAATTAGATTTTCGTAATTGTTAGGATCCTGAGTTGGATAAGWGTAATCCTCACGATAATAATCATTATCATAACCTGCCGGTAATTGCTCACTACTTACAAAGGGAGCAGCTGTTGTTGTTAATGTAGGGTACGTATGATACGAGGGAGGTGCATAATTGTAAGGGTTTTTGACCGGGTACCAATGAGGATAATACGAATGATAGTTGTAATTTGCTAAAGGTTTGTTATAAGAGGGCAACCAAGGGCTTGGATCGTATGTTAAATGAAACGGAAGATAAGACTCATATTTCGCAGTCACAACTTTCGCAAATAAATTTACCAAAAACAGTCCCAACAAAGGTCCAAAAGTGCGACCTTGTGTTTCCACCATACTATCGAATTTTACCGGCACTAAAATTTTTTTCTTACTTCTTTTTTCAAAATTAGCTATACTCACATCTACTACTATTGTTCGCGGACGAATTAAATACTGGTGAATCTTTCATCGTTACAAATCTGTGACTGAAGTATTTCTATTTATTATTCACAAGAGAAAGTGACAATTATGTGGGTATTTTTTAATTGCTACCCTCATGCTAATTATCTAAAAAAGGCGTTTATGATTTTAGAAATTGAAGGTGTTATATATCGCCATCTAACGAAGCTTAAGCACAGTTGTGAAAGCGCAGCGAAAAGCAGAGAATCGTATTGTGCTGCCCTCTAAAAATCAATACACCACACACGTGAAAGTAACACCATTCAAAATTCAATTATCTATTATTAGAATCTTCTGTCTAAGCATTGAAATAATTTGTTTTAATTAACTATGTTTGTTTTTGTTGACTTAAATAAAGAGAAAATAATTAAGAAAAGAGAACAAACTCTAGTCTCTCACGTTTTCGAATATCGGAAATAAATATTAGACGTTGCATAAAGATGAATACGAAGGTTTCGTGCACAAATTACCCGAGGAATTAAAATAGCAGTGAATTTAAAAGATATTTTTATTAAGTAATGATATTTGCTGTCTTTAAAAATGTTTCATTTGTAGTTGAATTGCAATTTAAAAGAAATCGGCTTCTAAGATCTTTTACTGAGAATAAAATACTTGGCTGAAATATTATTCATCAGCAGCTTATTTTTAATAATCACTTCAAAGTAACAGGAAACTCTTAAATAAGAGACCTGATAGATCTCAGCAAATTGAGTTTTACTAATAAAATTAACCCTTCAATCAGGGGTATATCGAAAGACCATCTTCCGGACGATTATTATAATGTAACTCTTTCGTCTCAATACCTTCCTTTTGAAGCCTCTGAAAGCATTGAGACTACTTATTCCCGTAACTTTTGTGTCACTATACATTTTTAACGCAAAATTTGGTGAAAAGTGAGATTCGATAGTTTTAATAGGATGTAATATGGGTGAAAATGGAGAAGCACCCCTTATTATCTGCCGATGCACCCCACGATAGGATAGAATTTGAGATAAAAGGATTTCGCTCATTTCATTTCCACTTTAGGGTTGTCTAGAAAAAGTAAACAGCAAGATAATAATCCTTCCATCTTCCAATTTGCATCATCTCAAACCTAACTTCGGTATTTCATCACTAGTAAAACAAATTATTAGGTTATTCATACTCGGTGAAAGCAAATGAGTTTACCCGATATCTCGTCTTTGATAAACTTATCTCACATTATCTCTCAAATGAAAATATTTAAGTCACACCTAGTACGTCAACAGGTTCGCGTTTACAATGGTGCATCCGAGTGAATTATTTCGAACAAATTCAATCGAGGAAAGAACCTTTTCCGCTCCGCGAAACGCAGTAGACGAAAACCAGTTAGACTGCGGTTTAACAAATTTACCAATTTTAAAACGATGTTGCAATTTAGAAAGATTAGCCACACCAAAAGTGTTTCTAGTATTTTTATCACTTGTAGGACTTTTACAAGGGATCACAATTAAGTATTTCCGTGAAACGTCGAAATTCTGGGGAGAGCATTACAATATTTCACAAAATAACATTGGTAAGTACAATAATAAAAAAATTCATTGTCATAATAACCAATTTTAGAATGGCTAATTTATACCAATGAATTTTTTGTCGGACTCTGTGCCTTGTTAGTGGCCTATTATGGTAACAGGATACACAGAATATCATGGATTGGCGGTTTGACGATTTTCCAAGCCGTTTCATCTGGGATTTTAGTGATACCAGAAATTTATCGGAAAAATTACAARGAAACGAAAGAAATGCCAGGTGGATTGATTATTGTCAATAACAGAGAATTTTATTTCAAATTTTAGGACCCGCTTTGTGTTCAAAAGAAAATACAAGAGGAATAACTGATAATGAATTTGAAGTCAATTACATAGCATTGGTTGTTTTGTGTATTTTTCAAATGTTTTTTGCTATGGTTTCTGTTTCATTTATATCACACGGTATAACATATTTGGATGATAACACATCACACCGGAGTAGTCCACGATATATAGGTAATTATATCAAAATAAAAATAAGTAAAACAACGTCAATTAACTCTTTTATCAGCAATTGCATTATCTTGTAAGGAATTAGGCCAACAAGTCGGACTATATCTATCATGGATTCCTACCGTTTCAACGATTAGTCAAATTTTTATTCACCCAGGTTTTATTTCTATAATTAATTACTMTTAACTATTTTGTGTTTTTTTAGTTTGGCTTTCTATAGCTTCTGTGACTTTTATTTCAGGTGTCTTAATTTCAATGTTTCCAAAATATATGCCTTCAACTTTGATACGAGCAATGTCGGCATCGATTGTTGATCTTGCATCTGGGCATCAAACTGTGCGTCAAAAACCAATCATTGATGGGTTTTTCAAAACWTTYTTTCGTCTATTAAAAAATCCTATTTTAATGGTCAACATCTCRAGRATAATGATAATGGAGTCGGGACTTATCAATTTCAATATTTTCGAAAAATATTTCAATCAATCTCGTTTTCAAATTTCGTACGACAACGATACATCATATACTCAGATTACAACAAATGTTTTGAAACAACCTTTAGTGGCATTGTCAATGATTGCTTCCGGATTGCTAACTGCCAAAGCTTCAACTTCAAAATCTTTGGCCAAATGGAACATCGCTGCAATAATACTTGTTGTCATATTTTTTGGAAGTACAGCGTTTTTAAAGTGTGATCCTACAACCAAATATGAGGATCTTCTTGATAAAAATATGTGTAAAAGGTGTAATTGCACATTTAATAATTTTGAACCAGTTTGTATCAAAACAAAAACATATTATTCGCCGTGTTGTGCTGGTTGTCAGAGTGTCACAACTAAAAACTCTAGAAAGGTAATGCTAATTTTTTGCTATGGAATGCTAATTTTTTTCTAGGTTTATACTAATTGTTTCTTGGGATTGGAAGCTGCTGAAGGTCCTTGTGATCAAACAAATTGTGACTTATTTTACGCCTTGTCTCAAGCAAATCGAGTCATTACAACAGCGCTACTTGCATCGACAATTGTAACAAACATAATAATAAATATGAGATGTATTTTACCAAGGGATAAAGCAATGGCGTTAGGTCTTGAAGCGACTTTTTCTAGTCTAGTTCCTTATTTACCTGTGAAAGCAATTTACGGAGCTGTGGCAGGTATTGTAAAAAAATATGATTTCTTGTTGTATCTTACTTTTTTAGAACACTACTGTATTTATCGTGAAAATAATGTGTGTAAGCTATACTCGAAAAGCTATGCGACGTTTTTATCTCTGTGTTCGATGGGTTTTATGATTCTTTCTTTACTCTTGGCAATTGTTGTTTTAATTCTTTTAAAATTGAAACCTTTGGATTATAAGGAGGAAGATGAAGATGATGTTCCTGTTGAACTTGAAGAGGTGCATAGACCAGTTGAGGGAGAAAGATTAATGAGTGAAGAGGGACAAGATGAGGTTGATTCAGGTGTACATCGGAAAACTGGTTCAGCAAATTCAGTTAACAGTATGCCTGAGTCACTTTTAGATATGGAAAATGTTGGTGATGATCATGATTCGATCGATTCGGCTCCTTATTTAGATGAGACACAAGAGCGATTAAAACAAAATAGGATACTAGAGAGCAATTTGTGATTTATTTACAAGGTCTAATCTAAAGATTTGAGAGGAGAAAACATAACTGGGCACTTGTTAACTAGCTAAATCTTCTAGTTCAAGTTCAATTTCTTCGTCAAATATTTTTAATCCTTTGACAAAAAACCAGACGCCAGCATCGAAGAGTGTTCCAATCAGAACGAATGTCGCCGCTGTGAAATTCATTGTGTATCTTAAGGTTTTTCCATTATATAACCAACAGTTTCCATTTCCGGTACAAGTCTTTCCCCACACCAGACAGGCCTTATCTGGAAAGAATTCTTAAAGTGACAACGTTCTATATCGCTCTCTATTATTTGTCTTACCTAAGATTATTCCGAAAAGGATGGGTGAGGGAACGAAAGCACAAAGACTCATTAGCATCAAACCGAAACCCATTGCTACGGGTTTATCCTTCTCCTCCACGCACCTAAAAACTTAATCAATGAGATCTGTAGTAGAATTTGTAATAAAAAATCAAAACCAATTTTGTTTATTAATAATCACCTCACTGTAACTAAAAAATTCGACGCCCGTCCAGTRGCCCCACTAAACTTCAAAAGACAGACAACAATTAGAAAAATGTAAAATTTCGATAAACAATCCACGGAGCAATTTCCCGGCGTCGCAAACCCGCCTTCGTGAAATGTGTGATTAAAATCCACCAAATAAGTTTGATTCGTTAGGATGCAAGAACAATCGGAAAAGATCTCGGTCCCATTGATTTTCCTTGACTGTCTACAACCAGCATGACACGCTGATATAAAAGTCGTCGTCCCATCTTGCGAACACACAGGATTGTATTTTACATAATCACAAAAGCAATGCGAATTACATTCAGTTACTGGATTTAATCTAAAACAAATGCTCTTTATTTACTAGCATGCTATAAATTATCGCTAATTAACAGATAATCGGGTGCGAACTTGAATTTGTTAGATAAATAACGGATTATTTTCCACCCAGTYCACACACTACTCAAAATCTAAATTGATTGAAATGAATAATTTAAATATTTGCACTAACGCCACTTGGCATTCCAAAGTTTGTGCATTAACAGTAATTAGTAACGCAGGGTAAAGCTCGCTAAGTTGTCTTATGTGTAAACCATGCTCTCAGAGTGCTTAATTTACTCAGAAAATTGTTCAAATTGATGATTTAAAATGAATTAAAGCTTGTCATTAGTGAATGATGAAAACTATTAATAATTATTGTTCCTTACTCTCCGTTTGGTAGTAAAGGAGCTCTGTTGTCATTTTCAGCACATCCTAAGTAAGCATATGAAACAATACCAAGAACTGAAATCGCTCCCACAATTACGTTCCAAGCCGCTAAGTATCGTGCACGTGGCTTATACTTGGAAATAATAAGTCCTGATAGTAGAATACCAATTGCTGAAAATACGAGACCGGCACTTCCTGTTATCAAACTAGATGCAGAAGCTGATTGACGATATTGCGTTTCTATGTACTTCGGTAAAAAAATCCAATACGGCATGTATCCCAAGAAATAGAAAATTGCCGCAAAATTATTCAACATTAGAGTCGGATTGTAAATTAGACGTTTAAAAGTCACCAACATATCTGAAATATAAAAATTGCATTTTGTTAAAAATCTAGACATCACCTTTAAACGATGTTGGTAATTCTGGTTCCGGTTCAAATTTTTCATTAACTTTAGATATTTGTTTTTTGAGTAACTCTTTTCGTACAGCTGCTCGTGGAAGAGTTTTAGGAAACAAGGCGAGCAAAGATGCAAAAATGAAAATCACTATAGCTAAAATTATCCAACCAAGCCACCAAGCACCTAACCATCGAGGGTCATTATTGTCTATAGTTGGTGTCAAACTTGGCGAAATGTACAATTTTAGACAAAACGAAGCCAAACCATACCCAACCGCAGGACCCAACATTCGAATAAAATACGAAAAACCTTCAAAATAATTAAAAATCTTCAGAGTGCGTTGTGTTTCTTACTGAACAAAGCTGGTGTTTTGGATTTCTTGATGTTGTCATCCATGTAGGAGACACCAAGAGTGTAGTAGAGTGATCCTCCAATTCCAGATATAAACTGTGCAATAAAGAGAATTAACTGAGGCGAGTAATTCCCTCCTTCCATCTCGCAATCAGATGTGGTCGAATTTTTTCGGTGACATAAAGCTTTCTTTTGCACACGATCTAGAGCGTCAATGGTGGAATTGCGATCGTGGGTTCGGTATTCCACCGTGAGTGTGAGAGCGTCGGATCCAGCTCCACAAAGAAAGTGAGGCAATGCCGTTAAAAGACAAAAAAGGACCACAGTATACATCCCAAGAGCCATCCACCTCGGTCTATGCCCTCTCCCGGCGTAGTAACTCAGAATTACGGAGACAAATAACTGACTTAAGTCATTTCCAACGGTAATTATGCCTATAACATAGAAAAATGAATGAAGGAATTCGATATTTCGCCTCGAATTACACCAAAAGCAAAACGTCTCTTTAATAATAGAATTAGCGGTCGGCTCATGGTGAAACATTAAATACTTTAAGGAGATTTTGATAAAACATTTGGTTTTCTGTGTGTAAATTTGACAGTTTCATTATTTGTTCGAAAAAATAGACATCCCACTGGAATGGTGTGATCGTAATTGAAACATTAAGCACATTAAATTTTAGTGTGGGAAAAGCAACTTGCACAAGAGACGCATTAAATTTACCTGTTGTTCTGCTTGGTATTTTAAATCTTTTTTCCAGTGTTGTAATAGTACCATTAAAATAGGCATATGCTGCTGAAAATACACATCCTAGTAATCCATACAAGAAGACATAAGCTTTCTTATTTGCGAATCTTTGGAGCCAAGGTCCTTTCAAAAACCAAATACCACAAGTGGTGTCCTCGGTTAATCTAACATCATAAGTGCGTTTATGATTTGTTTTAGACGATATTTTTCGATGATTTGATTCCATTCTTGGCTAAATAGACAATGTTTCTTAAAATATCACTTGAATCTTTAACAGTTAAGGACTATGCACCCAATTTATAACATTACTGAGTTTCCTATCGTCTATCAAGTGACATCTACAATAATAAAAACAACGAGCGTAGTGAAAATTAGTTATTATACATTAACTTTACGAATTATTAATTGCGTGCATATTTAATTGTCAACATTATACTAACCTTTGCAATTACTACAATTTTCTTATAGTAATAGTTTTCTCAACATGTTGGTGAATCTGGAACGTTTACATACAAACAACACTATTTGAACACACTAATGCATTAAGTAGTTCGCTAGTTTAGGGTCTATTCATTCATCAACATTGTGGTCAATCAGCAACGCTGCGCTGCCTCTATCGTGCAGCCAAAGACGTAAGAAACGTACTTTCATTATTCAATTATTTTCAGCTTTTCGTCTATTTATACAACGCTTTGAAACTTAGTTAACTTGAATTGTAATTAAACTCTTTATTTGGTTGATTTTATTAAGAAAAAGACGGGGTGTTGTTGTTTAATTAACTTTATTGAGCTCAACTCGTACAAAAGTAGTAGCATTTTCCAATCGTTAAAAATGTTGAATTTAACGTAAAGTATGTGGTGGTGAAGATTTGGTGTAGAAGTGAGGAGGATTTGGTGTGAAATTACGGGTGAAAGAAGTAATTTGGTTGTTTTAAATTTGCGCAGTGTCGCGCACTTAAAAAGATATAAATTCGTTGTATCGAGGTTTACGTTGGGGTCTAAGGTAAGGCGTATTCTTAGTCTTTCAATAAAAGGGTGGAATATAAGGAATTAAAAATAAATGGAAACTTTTTCCATAAGTCCCGTTAGATTACAAATAATGAAAGCTCGGCTCGCATTGCGTTTAGAGTTTTAATAGTCTTATGGCACATCGCGTGGAATTAGTCGGCATGGCAGAAGTATCTTGGTATCTCGGGAATATTTATTCGTTTTTCCAAACGACTCGGTCCGAGACAATGCCGGAGCTAAGGACGAGAGGACGCGCCGAGGACGCGCTCGTGATTTCGCTTTAATCCTCGTATAATGGTTGTGTAATTCTTCCAACTCGGATCCGGCAACGGCAACTCTTTCGTTGATCGTCTAATGTATTCAGAAAGCATTCCGGTTCGCGGCCGTCGATTTGTTCCGGTTGCTTAATATTTTTAACAGTCTCGCATTTAGACGCCGTATCAGGGGTCGAGGATTAAAATGTAATAACTTCGCTGCACGCTGAAATTACATTTTTAATTTGAATAACTTATTTTTCGTGTTGATTTAAGCATTTGCGAGGCACTGAGCCTGCTAAGACGTGCCGTCGCGGTAAAAATTGCGATTCTCAACTAAAGCTAAATGTATAATGGTGAAGATTGGAGCTTAAAAATTATAATGGGCTGAAGGGGGCTAAATGATGACTAGGCCCTAGTCTGGACGCCCTGGACGCCCGAATATCGGCTCGCCTGAAATCTGATCACGTCTTCGTCCTGATCCAGGCACGTAATGAAAAATTGCACGTTCGTTAACGAAGGTGAACAAGTAAAACGACTCTCACGAAAACTAAACGAGATTCACACTCATTTACCTACCCCAAAAAATACAAATTATAGGAAAATCTCAGGGGTCGCCACTCTCCGTTTAATCGTATTTGCTGCAAGATTAAACGACCACCGCCGCCACCACTACTACCACCCCTTATTTTCGCGGTACTCGCAAAGGATGCAGTCAATTACTAAAGTGGCTGCCACATGATTGGATATAGATTCGGTGCGGCTTTGATGCTCAACAAGAAGCATTTTTATTCCTCTCGAGTGGAAATTTTGTAATTTACCTTTCGCAATGGCTATGTCTGTTTATGTCAACTAACTCTAGTAAAGTAAATATTAGTCAGTATACCCGGTATAGGACTTTATTAACAAAATTAACCTACCGCTTTGCATCACACACAAGCGAATCAAATCACTAAGGCATTACTGCCAACAGATCATTTCAAATAGTCCAAACCAACACAAATACTATCACACTACTTCTTTTATCTACTCTAATTAAACCACATTAAACAAATTATTAATTACACACCAATTACTTCATTTCCAAATTATTATAAGCAATTTTGTCTAAATGATTCATGTTCATGGTATTAACATACTTCGATAATTTACAGTAACACTGATTTTTTTATATATAGCGTACAAATCAGGCTTTTTACCATGAAATATTTTATATTATATTCATTTTACAAAACATTTGCGAGTTCAATATTTTCAAAACATTTGAGAATTTGATAGTGTAATTTTACACGGAGGCGAGCGGCTAAGCCGCGAGCCTCCCATAATTCTCACAAAGTATTTCCGAATTTGATAGTGTAATTTTTTCACGTCATTTCTGTTCGTCTTTCGTCTAGTTGTCTATCGTCTATTTGTCTATTCGTCTATTTGTCTATTCGTCTATTCGTCCATTCATGTATTTGTCTATTCGTCTATTCATCTGTTCGTCTATTCGACTTTCGTCTATTCGTCTTTCGTCTATTCGTCTTTCGTCTATTCGTCTTTCGTCTATTCGTCTTTCGTCTATTCGTCTTTCGTCT